GGAAGTATGTTGGAGATTTTGCTATACCTGCTAATGGGGAACATAGTTGTGGGGCTGCCTGCTTGAACCCACACACAGCCTCATTCACCGTGTGTGTGTGTGTGTGTGTGTGTGTGTGTGTGTGTGCGCGCGCGCGTGTGTTGGATTCTCTCTGAATTCACAAGTCAGGCAGATTTGGTTGAGAACTATGTTCTTGGCAGTGAGTGTAAACAGAGGAGTGTTTACACGTTGGTGGAAATGCTAGTTAGTTGTGCTGGGCTGAACAGCGGTGTACTTCCCTGGCTTATTTTGTGCGGCATTGCCCATAGTGGCATCTAGATCTTAGAAGCAGGGCGGGTTCACAGAGAGTACTCCTAGCAGGGCCCCGCCTGGGAAGGTCAGGCCGGCTTTCGTCCGCAGAGCCGGGCCCACTGGGCTGCTGTCTGGCGTCGCCTCCTCACCAGCAGCCGTCCTCAGGGCCTTTTCTCAGTCCACCCACGTGTAAGCCTCAGCGCCTGCCCTGGAGGTCTCCTCCTGATCCTGCAGCCTGGAATAGCTTACGGAGCATTGGCCCTGAGCTCCCCTAGATCTCCAGCGGGCAGACTGCAGTGCAAGTCAGCATCCTGTTCTAGACGGGCTCACCCGGATTCTGGAAGTAGCTTAAAAAAATTTTTTTTAATGTTTGTTTGTTTTGGGGAGTGGCGGAGGGGCAGAGAGAGAGGGAGACACAGAATCTGAAGCAGGCTCCAGGCTCCGAGCTGTCAGCACGGAGCCCGACACAGGGCCCGAACTCACGAACCGCGAGATCATGACCTGAGCCGAAGTAGGACACTTAATCGACGGAACCACCCAGGCACCCCGGGAAGTAGTTTTAAAACTTATATTTAAAAAAGTGAAAACTTGCTCAGCAGAGCTCTCAAATTCCCTGGAATGTGTGAGGGGAAAGGATTTACAGCTTCTCTGCATGCAGATGGCCCCCTTGGCCTACTTCTTCCGGCAGATCACATGGTGGGATCTGAGGGGTGTCTCCGCCTGCATCCCTAACGAGGCCGAGCCACTTGTCAGCAATGACTGTTAAATCTGTACTGAAGGGGACAGCGTGGTCACCCTGAACGGGGCAGCCATTTAGGGTAAAGGCATGTCTTCCAGTGGTTTTCCCATGGATTTGCTTACGTGGATTTTCGTTAAGTCCCAGTAGTCACCATAGCCGCCTGATCCTTGTTCTCTCTCTCCTTGCTGGGGTGGTCTCCTGGAGGTGGCCTGGCTGTAGGCCAGGTTTCTAGGGGTTAACTGAGGTCATTGGGAAAACAAACCAAGGCTGCTGGATAATAGGCTTACTTGGCTTTTGGAACTTTTAGTGTGTGGCATTTTAAGATAAACCAACATATACCAGTATGTTTAAGTATATGAAATGTAATTTTAAGGATATACCAGCATACATATCAACATACATCAATAACTCACACGTGTCCCGGCATATTGAAGCCCATACCGTAAGCACAGGGGGTGTGGCCGGGTGGGAAGCAGGAGGGCTTTCTCACGAAGGCCTGTGTGTCCCAAGACAGATTGGTCAGGTCTCTTATCTGTGAAACTACAGAGCTGCTTCATGTAATCTCTGAGGCCCCTTCCAGTTCTAACAGCCTGTGATCCTCCTGTCTTGATTTTAAAAACATAGATAAAGTCCCACTGGGGCTGAGTGAAGTAAAACTCGGACCAATTTTTTAACATGAAAAACAATGAGTGCCTCGTACAAGTGGAGGGTGAAATGCTTTTGCCCACTGGGCCTGTGGTCTCTGTACTTTGGGGAAAGGAAATGCTACCCTGTGATAGGGAGGGAGGGGCTGGGGCACGTAGAAAGGCTGCCGGGCCCCATCAGAGCCTGGTTCCTCTGCTCAGATGCAGGGACTGGATCACAGTCCATCTCTGGGGTCAAACAAGTCACTGATTATAGCATAGTCACCGTCCTCTTCCTTTGCCTCCCCTTTGCCGCCTCCTCAGCCCTGGTTGATGTCATTCTGGCTTAAGTTATTTATTACGGGTCTGTGCCTCTCTAGATGTCAAACAATAATGATAGAAAAGTTGCTATGTCTACATCAGGCTAAGCTAGGCAGAAAAGCTGCAAACCAAGAGTGATAGCCAAAACTGACTGAGGAGCCTGGAAGATTGTTCAGACTGGATGTCTCTGTGCCATACTGGAAGTGGTCAGGGCAAAGGGACCCTGGATTTGGGCCATGAGGGGAGTGTCGCTTTGCTTCCAGGGGACTCCGGGAGAGCCTTCTTGAGATGATAGTTACCATGTGTGAGCCTCACCGATTGCCCAACACTCTGGACCCACATAGGATAACCCAGGACTGTGAGAAAAACACAGTGTGTTTTATCTCACTTAATTCTGCCAACAGCCTTGTGAGGTGGGTACTTTCCATTTCACAGATGGGAACATAGAGCCTTGGAGACTTCGACCACATTGGTGCGGTTAAATTTAGATCTGGTTGACCGGAGAGCCTGCTCTTAGCCACCATCCCACCCCACCTGAAGGATGGAGTCTGCCTGGAGGGCAGGGAAACTTCTCTCCATCTGTGCAGCCAGCCCTGACACTGTGCCACATAATTAACCTCTCTTCGTTTCTGTCTAGGGAGTTTGCCTGTATTTCTTATCTTTCTCCCCACTTGGTTCCCACATCCAGAGAGTAACTAGTACATTTAATTCACTGGTAACTGGCACAGAGCCAGAAATGCAAAATGCCCCCCTGCATTTACCAAAGCCAATACGTAATTTATCTGTTTCCATCAGAGTGTTTAAAAAACGAAGCTCCGGGAATGCAACGCAGCAACTGTATTGACAGCATCATGGGACGTGGCCCTAAAAGAGTGAGAAGCCACAAAGATTTAGCCTGTTCAGAAGTTTGCTCTTTTGGAAATAGTAATAACAGTTACAGTATGATTAATAGTAGAACCGTGAAGTGTTAACCTGTTAGAGATGGAAGTCACCCTCAAGAGTGTGGAGAGTTAGTAACACCACTTCCCAGATGGGACATTAAAGCCTGCAGAGAGGTGGGACTCTGTCCAGCTAACTGGGGCCTGTGGACGATGCCCCGCCCCATGCCCCGTGTCATCCTGCTCTCAACTTCTGTCCCCTTAGTTAGTAGTGACAGTAATTACCAAGAAAAAGCATTGCACAGAGACGACTCACGGTCACGTTTGTAGGAGTCTCCCACTGTGATGTTCTTTGTCACTGAAGACAAGGGTGACCTATGGGAGGAACACATTAACAATGAACTTCATTGCACTTTACAGTGTTTTCGTCTTTCTCCTCAAGTCAGAGCACAGATCAGTCATGGAGAAGAAAATTGCAGGAACAGCTCGTGTGTGTGTGTTTATGGAGTTTTTGTTAAAGGCTTATCTGCGGTTGGATTATGTGGGGTTTTTATTTTTGTCTTTTTTTTTTTTTTTGAGTGGAGTAGTAAAAAAGTGAATGAAAGCTTGTAGTTGGTTTCTTTTGACTTAATTGAGGAAGAAAAAAGGTTTATTCTGAGAGAATATCTGTAGTGCGATGTCGGTCTGTAATTTTTGCTCATTTTGCTTTTGATACTTTTGCCTAAATGCTCCTGGACACAGCTATGGGACTTAGGTGCCCACAGAGGGAAAAGGATTCCCTTCGGCAGGAAAGATGTGTCTCGGCTCTCTGGGAGCCCAGCCCTTGTCCGAGCAGGGCCCACAGACACACGGCCACACCATGGCACTTGCTGACCCGGCTCCTTTGCCCTCTGCTCCTGGGCCGGCCTAAGAGCCTCCGCCAGGGCCCTGCAGCACCACTGCCCATTTTTGCAGATCAAACCGGAGGCATCCTTGCTAAGAAAAGCCATGTCGGCAGAGCCCACAGGGGGAAGGCCTTCCCGTTGCTACCATCAGGTCTGTAAAAGACGGTCACTACAGTTCAAAATTAGGCATCAGGGTAAAGAAGCGCACGTGGTTGGGCGGTTCTCCCACATTTCCATCTTCAGTGAACCCCTCTCCTAACCCAGGGCAGAATTCATCATTCCTTCCTGTGTGTTTCCGGGACTCCTTGCACGGAACCCTGAGGTGGCTCTCTTCTGAGTTAATTGGCATCCATTGGTTTTCCAAGGCAGGTGCAGCGCTGTGTCCCTCTTTATGCCCTGCATCTCCTTTCTGGCCCAGCTCCAACATATGCCTGTGATGCTATAGGGTTGAGTCAGGTGGATGAGAAATAATGCCCGTGTGCCAGATGGTGGCTCCCGGGACCTCCCAGCATCCCTCGGTGCCTTTCTACCTTCCCTCTACTTCCTCTGCTCAGGATCCAGCTGTAGAGGAGTGACACGTGTCCAGAGACCCCGGTGACCCTGAGACCACGGTCAGCTTTGCCCTCTGGTCACTGGTTGGGAGCAAACCTTCTACCTGTCAGACTATATGCTTTCTGTGTGCTCTGGTTCTGGCCACTTTGGTGAGAGCCTTCTGCGTATTGGCCGCACTGGTTCGGTGGAATGTAGACATCAGACAAATTAGTCAATAATGAGTAGCGTTCTGAAATTTTTAAAAAGATTTTGTGCTTGGTACCTTCATGTACTCCTGCATCCGATACGTCTGCTCCTTCAGTATATTTAAAATAAGAATTCACGTATGAAGTGTTGGTCTAGATTTTCTAGAGAGCGGCAGTTGAGGCAAACAGAGATGTCACTGTAACTGAGTTGTTTTGGTGGCCTCACGCAGTGCATTCCTGGAAGTCAAGAGAATACGCTGGTGTGAGGCTCAGAGTTCCTCCCCTAGGCTGAATTTCCTTCCGATGGGGAGGAGGGGTGCCCTATGGACTTTCTTTGCAGAATGGCAGATCAGGTCCTGCGAGCAAAGGGTCCCTGCCTTGGAGGTGCCTGACCTCTCACCCTCCCCCACCCTCCTCCCAGGCTCCCAGAGGGCCTGCCTGGTGGTGGCGGCAATCTGCATCCAGCCAACTCCGGGGCACGTAGAGCCACCAACGTGCCCGTCTAAAGTGTTGTCTTCTCCCCGCAGCCAGCATGCCGACCAGCGAGACAGAGTCTGTGAACACGGAGAACGTAAGTGGTGGAGGCGAGAACCAAGGCGGCTGTGGGAGTCTCTGGTGAGTGTGGAGGCCGCTGGCCCTCCTGCCCCCTCCTGTCTTCTTGGAGGGACACGTGTGGGGGAAGGCACCCCAGATTTCAGTGGAGCCCCGGGGCCATAGCCTCAGGTGCACGAGGGGTGGGTGGGCTCACCCTGGACCCCTTGGTCTCCCCTCCCATCCCAGGCCCCCAGGCCCCCGGCGTTTCACATGCCTCTTCCCCCAGAGCAGCCCGTCCTGCTGAGGCAGAGCCTGCTGCGGGGCGTGCCAGGTAACCCGGCAATTCCACTGTTCCACTAGGTGCTGGTGGAAGCGAAGAGGCACGGCCAAGGCTGGGCCCTCTGGGTGTCGGCGGTGGGGGTAACAGGCCTGATTCTCCTCCCTGTCTGCTGTTGGCATCCGTGCCTTGACGAAGCGCTTGTATGGCAGAGCGGCTGACAGAATGCGCTGCATATTTAAGTTTTCCTTCACTGGCGGGTTCTCTGCGGCCTCGTACATGGGGCTGGACACTGAGAGCCCTCTATCCTTTGCTCACGGCACCTGTTTTTGGAGCCCTGCACCACCCTCTCCTAATAGTGGAGGGCGCCACCACATTCACCCCTGTTGGCTTCTGTCTGGATAACCTGGTCCCTGGTGGAGACCAGCAGTGTGCAATGTGCAGAGTACTGCCTACTCTGGGGAGCCCATGTGATTTTATTTCATTTGCTTTCTGCTGGTACCCTTTAGGTCTTATCTCTGTAAAGTAGAGGCGGTGTTTTTAAGAAAATTTGATCTTCTTGCAGAGATTCGTAAAAATAATGTGTTTTGGGCAGAATGCTCAGTAATTTAAGAAGTGCGTTTGCCTCCATTGTCTTGCTCCACCCTCTCTACAACATTGTAAAGTAGGCGGGGGGACGGGTTCGTTATCCTCATTTTACAGATGAGAACACTGAGGCTCAAAAAGTTGTGCTGCTTGCCCGAACCCATGCGGTTAGTGGATAGCAGAGCCAGGACTCCTAATCCAGTGCTTCTCTTGCTGTAGTAGCAGCACAGTGTGGCTGAGTTGCAAGCAGGGGAGTGGGTGGGCTGACTTCAGTCTGGGGAAGTGGGGTCAGGGGAGAAGGACCTCCACCGGCATCAATGGCCTGTGACAGGGCTGCACAGGGCAGCCGGCTAAGAGTCTTCTGCCTGGGCCCTGGTGGGTGTCAGCCTGGCCTGCATGGCCCCGGCAGACCCCGCCTCCTGCTCTGCTCTCACCCCTGCTGGCTCACTGGGGAAGCTGGGGATGCTGAGCCCAGGCTTCTGTGCATGGCTTTTCCATCTCTTAGCTGAAGTGATGGGGAGAAAATGCTCAAACCTTCCTAATCGAAATCATATTCTTTCTTTCTTTCAGTCAAGCCATCTCAAAATCCAAGCTCAGGTCAGTATCTTCTGTTTTTTCTTAAGCCTGTGTGCTGGTGTTTTACTTTCTAACTTCTCAACTATACATGGAGTTGCTCTAGACTTGGTTTTTACTCTGTGGGCTAGAACATTCATATTGAAGATCGGTCTGTCCAGTAAGTATCAAACACCTGCCGTGGAGAGCAGCAGAGTAGGTGCTGAAGATCTTGCCCCAAGACAAACTGACAGGACGTAACAACGAACAATTTCTTGTCACCAATCAACCCTTTGTACTCCTGCCCAGAGTCTGTCCTTAAAGAGGGATTCTTCTTGTCTCTTTTCTGCTTACAAGTTTTTTATGGAGGGGGGTTCAAGAGGTCTTCTGAGGTGCTAGTGATGTTGTGTTCCTTGCTCTGGATGCAGGTTACATGTTTTGTTGGTAATAACACATTGAACCATATACCTATGATTTGTATACTTTTCCATATAAATGCTATTTTTCAATTAAAAACAACATTTTACTACAAAAATTGACTTGAAGTGGACATATGAATGTAAAACCTAAAACTGTAAACATTCTAAAAGAAAACACAGGAGAAAAATCTTTGTGACCCTGGGTCAGGCACAGGTTTCTTAGAGACGAAACCCAAAAACACTGGCCATATGAGAAGATAAGCTCCAGACCGGAAGAAAAAACATTTGCAAAACATTTGATAAAGGACTAGTATCCAGTATATGAGAAGAATAATACATAAATATGGTGTGAATAATTGGAAAACTATAAAAAAAGAGTTAGTATATTTTAACAGGTATGTCACCAAAGAGAGGTGGATGGCAAAGAAGCACATGACATGACCATTGGTCACGAGGAAAATGCAAATTAAAATCACGGTGAGACATCACTATACACCTATTAGAAAATTTTTTACACCTACAGATCAAATTTTAAAATCTGACAATACCAAGTGCTGACAAGGATGCAGATTGGTGGGGATTCCCATATGTTCCTGCAGGTTGAAAGACACGGCCCTTTTGAAAACAAGTTGACAGCTGCTTGGAAAGTTAAACATCTATTTACTGTATGACCCAGCAATTCCACTTCCGAGGTATTTATATAAAATGAAGATCAATGCCTGCATGAAAAATGTTTACGTAAGAGTTTACAGCAACTTTATATGTAATCGCTATAAACTGTAAATAACTCCAGCGTCCGTCAGATGGCGAATGGGTAGACAAATCGTAGTTCGCGCATATGACAGAATAACGCTCAGCAATAAGAAGGAAAAAACTGCCGATAGATACAACGCAAACGAATCCGGAAAGTATTTTTGCTACGTGAAAGAAGCAAGTCTCAAAAAGCTCTATATTGTGTGATTCTATTTATTGGACATTCTGGATGAGACAAAACAATAGGGACAAAAAACAGTAGTTTTCAGGGGCTGAGGTGAGGAGGGTGGGTTAACTGTCACAAAGGGACATGAGGGAAGTTCTTTGGGTGATGGAGATCTTCTACCTCTTGACTGTGGTGGTGGTTACAAACCCTCTTCCTAAATGTTAATAGTTACCACATATCTATCTATCTCAATAAACTGGACTTAAAAAAGAACAATTAAAGGCCCCTCCCTGACTCCCTGTTGCCAGAGGGGTATTCATTCCTTCATACTTTGGCCCCCAGCTCGCTCTCTGGCCTGATCCTCGGACACCGCCCCCTTACTCCCCACTCTGTGGTGGTAACTGGACTGCTCTCAGTTTTCAACATGCGGTTTCTTCCCACCTCAGTCCCCTTGGCCATGTGGTCGCCTGGGGTTGAGTGCCCTCCCTTCTGCCCCCTGGTGAACCCTTACTCTGTTATCCAGAGCCCGCCCAAATCTCAGCTTTTCAGAGAAGCCTTTCCTGCCTCACGCAGAGAGCATTTGCTGCTCCTGTCTCTCCGCCTGTACTCGGGACCCTGAGAGAAGCGCTTAGTGGGGATTTATAATTGTTATTTGCCCCAACCTTGCGTGCTTTTCAAGGTCAGAGGCCGCAGGACGAGGCACCTTCTTCACCTCCACATACCCAGTGTCTGGAGCCCCATGAGGGGCAAATTGAGAAATGCTGCAGGACTTCAGGGGATGGGAGAGTGAAGCCTCCAAGACCTCATGATGAGATGCTTGTGACTTGTCACTACAGCATAAATAGAACCACCAACTCTGGCTCTTTTTCGGATCACCTTGCTTGTGTGTACTGAATTATGTATCTCAGGAGAAACCCAGCCTCAAGGGGACAGTCTTTAGTGGGATTTTTCTACACTGGTCATCATGTTTCCAGCCACTGTTACCATGGAAACCACATAGCAGGAGCAAGAACAAAATGCACTTTGCTTGTGCCAGGCCTTGTTGAAGAGTCAGCATGGTTCTTTCTTTGCTCGGTCCCTGGGTTACGGTGTTTTTAGCATAGCAACGCCGCTGAGTCAGCCAGCGCTGCAGCTTGGACCCAGCCTGGAGATTCCTCTGACTCAGGCCCCCAGAGGAGGTGCCCACAGCCCCCGTCAGTGAACACAGCCTGCACAGGACTGACATCGCCACTTGGCTGGCCTTTTTTCTGGGACCCACCTCACCAATCCATCCTGTGGCAGGGAATGTTTTCCACGGGGAGAAGAGGCTAAGGGAGGGGATCCTTTCCCTAACGACACACTAGAACTGAAAGTCGGTAGAGGACATGCTACTTGTCTGTCTGGCTCAGCTCATCTTATTTGTATGAAAACATGATTCAATATTGGCTCTTCTCCTAAAGGTATATTTTGAGCATCGCTAGTTAGCAAGGGCACCTGATGACTCAGGATGAAGACTCATGTCCTACTCAGCTTTGACAAGTCTGCCAGGCTCTGGAGGAACCTCCCGGATTTAAGAAAGGACCTAAAGTTTCCCTAAAAGGAAAACTGGGTTTGGAGCACTTTGCTGCCTGAGAAATTCTGTATGACGGTTAAGATGCTGCAAGAGATGTGTATGATCAGCCAGACGGCTCTCTGCACCCATAGTGTGAACAGACCCGTGTACCATATGGTGGGAACTGCATATATGTGTGCGGGCTCGGTTTTGCATCTGCATATGAATCTATGAATATCTACATTCTTCTCACTAGTTTGAAGATTGCTTAGGGCAGATTACAGAGTTATCTAAAACCATAGGAAGGAAACTGATAGCGTGATCAGGTCAAGATACTATTTTAAAAGTTGTATTTTAAGACCAACACAATTAGTATGAGGAGTTCTGTTAATTTCTGTGTCCTTTGTTCTCATCTTTCCTTCCTGCACCCCGTGACCTGGATCTCCAGAGTTAAAGACAGGTTATGTCTCCATAACGTCTGTTGGATGTTCAGATGCTTTGTCTGCCATTCGGGGAGTAACTTTTGCTTCTCTTGCAGCCGCCGCTGGCGCCGCTGGAACCGATTCAATCGCAGGAGATGTAGGGCTGCTGTGAAGTCTGTCACATTTTACTGGCTGGTTATTGTCCTGGTGTTTCTCAACACCTTAACCATTTCCTCCGAGCACTACAACCAGCCTGATTGGTTGACGCAGATTCAAGGTACGAGCAGAGGCTGTTCTCTTTTTATTCTGACTCTGAATTAGGGACTCCTGAGGCTTATCAGTGTGTGACGTCGGGACATTCCTGGAGGGCACTGGCTTGGAAGACAGTGGAACCGTCCAGAGAGAGGCTGCACCCAGAGCAGCGGGGGTGTAGTGCTTGTCACGTGGTCAGTGGAAGCACCTTGGGGCTGATTGACGCCCAAGCCTCTCATTGTCTTAACCCTGTGGCAACCTAGGATCAAGGAATCTTGCAGTTGAGAGGGACCTCGTCTCCCTTCTCCCTGACCCTACCGGAAGCTGTATTTTCCTGTATGGTATTCTTGGCAAGCGGTTGTTGCCACTTGATAGACAACTGCTTCTTCTATCATTGGCACCTAAGCAAGGCCAGATTGCCCCTCCGTGACTGATGGAGACGAGAAATATAATATGCTGGTCTAAATGCAGAATCATAGGCTTTTAGGGCTGGAAAGCATCAGAGATTGTGTGGGAAACTGCTCCTCCCCATTTTATAGTCTGGGAAACTGAGCCCAGAGAAGTCAAGGGGCTGCTCCAGAGTCCCATGTCTAGGTGGTAGCAGAAGCAGGACTTGAACCCAGGAGACAGACCGTAAATACTGACGCTACATTTCTGTAACAGGCGCCACAGCAAAGACAGGGCAAAGTGCTGGGGCATTTCCAGCAGAGACTGGTGGGGTGGGAGGAGGGAAAACGAGTCTGAGCCAGTCCCACGATGAGACCCCGAGCACGTGTGCCCCTCTGTCTTTCCAGATATCGCTAACAAAGTCCTCCTGGCTCTGTTCACCTGCGAGATGCTGGTAAAAATGTACAGCTTGGGTCTCCAGGCGTATTTCGTCTCTCTTTTTAATCGGTTTGACTGCTTCGTGGTATGTGGTGGAATTACTGAAACCATCCTGGTGGAGCTGGAAATCATGTCTCCCCTGGGGATCTCTGTGTTTCGGTGTGTGCGCCTCTTAAGGATTTTCAAGGTGACCAGGTAAGGATGCGTGTATCTCGCTGCAGGTGTTTTCTGGCCGGGGGCTGGCGACCAGCCACATCCCGGTCCAGCAATGTCTGCGGTGTCCTGCGGGCGTTCTGGGCTCACACCCCCATCTTGACTTCTAGGCACTGGACTTCCCTCAGCAACTTGGTGGCCTCCTTGTTAAACTCCATGAAGTCCATTGCTTCACTGTTGCTTCTGCTTTTTCTCTTCATCATCATCTTTTCCTTGCTTGGGATGCAGCTGTTTGGTGGCAAGTTTAATTTTGACGAAACGCAGACCAAGCGGAGCACCTTTGACAATTTCCCTCAAGCCCTCCTGACGGTATTCCAGGTGAGGCCTCGCAAGGAGCCCGTGTGAGCCGCCAGCTTGTCAGTTCACAACTCAGGAAGACGGGATGATTCTGCCGTGGTTAGCGACCTCTGCCCCAGTAATGCTCTGACAAATCTGGCACCATGAAAGCCATTTGTTTCGCACTTGACTCCGGCTGTCTGTGTGGTGTGATTCACTGTTTTTTGTAGGACCACTGGATATGGTACAGGACAACAAACCAAAAACTTCTGTTTGATTTGGTGAGGTTTGCGAGGTTTCTGTGATATAGGCTCTAAAATCCTCTTCCTGTTCTGTGCTAATTTTTGCTGGCAGGCCAGCTTTGGGACCCTGGCTCTAACGGATTTGTGCAGAGAGGTGAATTCTGAAGTCCTAATGCTCTGGTGTGCAGTCAGAGGAACCGGGGTGATAAAAGAGTTGTGACAGCCTTCAGCCCCTTTTGCTCTCCCGCCCGTGATGTAATGAGGACACGCAGGCCCTGAGCATGTCTGTGCCGTTGGGTCCTGGGCAGGCACCGCTGAAAAGGAGGGACGGTGTCAGAGGTGCTCAGGTGGCTAGGCACTCAAAGCAGCAGTATCTGCTCCCACCTGGCTTTAAGCTGGGTGTTCTAAACCTCCCCCCTCCCGCCTTCGCATGTGGTGACCCGAAGCCCTTCCTCGAACAACGAGTGGCATATAAATTTAAAAGACCCCTCTGCCCCTGTTGCTTTCACACACGATGCCAGCGAGCTCCAGCTTTGGGGGAGTCCATCTGGGGAGGCTGGAAGGCATGGTGGGAGGGGCCTAGACACTGAGGCCGCCCTGCTGGCTCTTTCAGTGCTCAGCTCTGTGACCTTGGGAAGTCACTATCCGTTCTGAAAAAAACAAGAGACTAGAGGGAATGATCTGTAGGATTCATTCCCACTTGGTCATTTGAGGTGGATGGAATTCTTGTCGTCGCCATAGGCCATACTTTTTTTGAACTATACTTTAATTATTTGAATTATCCTTAATTCTTAGCCGCTGGTTAGTTTTTCTTTATTCTGTTTTTATTTCAGAGAAACAGAGAAACCCTGTGGTGGTGGTGGGTTTTGGTAGTACCTGTGTATAGCACAAAATTCAAATGTTTACAAAAGGGTTTAAAGTAACAAATGAGTCTCCTTCCCACGCAGCCCGCAATTTCTCCTTGTAGGAGCAACCACCACTGGATGGTGTCTGTGTATTCTTTGAGATATATTTGCTCGTAGATGTGAGTCAGTGAACCTAGCCACCCACCTACCTGCCCATGAATACAGTATGATGTAAACAGTGGCTCATGTTACCTGCCATTTTCCGTTTTCTTACCATTTAAAGTGTCCCTAAGAACCTTCCTTATTGGTCCATAAGAGTTTGCCTCCTTTCCAATTCCGCGTCAGTCCTGTGGTGTGGTGTTCCTGTCCCCTAATTCATGTAACCAGTCCCTAGCTTGGTGACTATTTCAAGTCAACCAGTCCCTAGCTTGGTGACTGTTTGTGTCTGGCCTCAGCTCAGTGGGTGACGTCGAACTCACACCCTGGGCACATGTGTGAGCATAGATGTGGATAGATTTCCCAGAAATGGAATTGCTGGTTTGAAGGGTGTGAATCCGTTTTCAACTCTGATATCTTGCCTACCGTGCTCCTCACAGTACTGTCGGTCTGTCCTCCAGGGATGGGGGCTGGAGACTGCCCGATGCCTCACTACTTTTTAGCATGGTGGGTGTTCAAGCTTTTTGATGGTTGTCTGACAGGTGAAAATAGTGTCTTCCTACTTCTCTTATCAGGAGTGAAACTGAATGCCTTTTCATGGGACACAGAGCCATTTATAGTTCCTTTTCTGGGAATTGCTTTATCTTTTGAAATCATTTGCCCATGTTTCTGTTGGGTTGTCAGCCATGACAGTTCTATTTTTTAAAGTATCTGGTGCAGCTAGATGATACAAGAGCACATGTGCTCCCTCCCTCTTTCTTTCTCTTGCTGGAAGATAGTATGTTTTTATTAATTTTTTAAATATTTATTTATTTTTGAAGGAGAGAGAGACAGAGAGTGAGCAGGGAAGGGGCAGAGAGAGAGGAGACACAGAATCTGAAGCAGGCTCCAGGCTCTGAGCTGTCAGCACAGAGCCTGATGCAGGGCTCGGGCTCACGAGCCGTGAGGTCATGACCTGAGCCGAAGTCAGATGCTTAACTGCCAGAACCCCCCAGGCACCCCTGGAAGATAGTGTGTTCTTAAAATGCTATTTAGGTTTATCTGATTCTACCTCATGATAGATCGAGTTATCAAATATCATCAGTAGAGAAGGTTAAATTGGAAATTTATGGCAGCTCTTAGTACCTACTCATGAGGTAGTTTGTAAACTTACATGAGATATTTGTAGTTCACTGCTTCTTACAAGTTCAGGGGTCCAACTCTCCATTTCCACAGTACGTTAACTACGTGGAATAGTAGGCAGCCGTTAAAAGGACTGAAGGGCACTGACTGACACAGAGAGTCTCCAGAGTATATTGCTGAATGAAAAAAAAAAAAAAAGCAAATGCAGAAAATTCATATAGTATAACAGACACCCTTTATGTTTAATATATCTGAGAACACACCAACTACCTCTTTCCTCTGGACGTGTATCTATATGTTACATGCAAAAAGGTTCTAGAGAGAGATGCACCGTGTTCTCGGGGGGTGGGGGCAAAACTAGGGTGTCACCAAAGAGTACATAAGTCTTATATGTGGTGTTACTTTATTTCCATGTGAAGAATTAATGTATGTGTTTGTGTAATTGAAAACAATGTTTTGAAAACTCTACGGGGAAACCAATTGCTTTGCTGAGCGCAAACTGGACAGTGAAAGGCAGCTGAAACCAGAATCGGGTGGCCCCCAGGGAGCTCTGGCGGACTGTCGGGAGTTGTGGTCCAGCGCATGCAGGCTGACCACAGTTTGGTTCTCTTAGATTCTGACAGGTGAAGATTGGAACGCTGTGATGTATGATGGCATCATGGCCTATGGCGGCCCGTCGTCCTCGGGAATGATCGTCTGCATCTACTTCATCATCCTCTTCATTTGTGGTAACTGTATCCTTCAAGCTGAGCAGGGCTTTGTCGTCATCATCTCCTTTTGTTTCTCCCTGTCTGAGTTTTCCTGAGGCGGTCGTGGTGGCGGGTGGCGGGTGGCGGTGGCAGTTGGGCTGGGGAGATGCACGCCCTTACCTTGTTAGCTCGACACCTGCTCTCCTTCAGGGCTGCTGGGACAGTGTAATGGGGTCAGAGGTCCAGTGAGGCTTTGAGGACTGTGCAAGCTGGGAAAGGCAGCATGGGCCAGTGTGTGGCCTGTACCAGTTGTCACCCAGCTTGGTGACACAGCTCTGTACAGGTCCCAAGGGAAGGCTCAGGGCAGAGCCGGTTGTCCTCCGTGCCGTCACACCTGGGAAGTTAGGGGTAAATCTGTGTCTCTTAAAAATGCTTCCTAACCAGTGGGCACCCATCAGCAGTGGCTTGACCTAAGCTCCCCGGACCCAATCTGGCTTTGGTGATCTGTACCTCTCTGGGGATCAGGTGCCCATTGGCTAGTGGCTGTATTAGGCTGTGAGCTCTTTTCTAACTCCTTTTATTCCTTTTTCCTGCCAAGAGGCACTCTCTAATTCTAGACTTCTGAAGGTTTGGATCTCTCTTTCCCTCCATCAGAGCCTTTAGGACCCTGTAACTTTCGGCAGTGTCTTCTTTCTCTCTCTGACCTCCCTGACCGGCACAAGACCTGGTGTATGGAGTCCTCAATAAGGGCTTGGTGGGAGAGTGGCTGTAACATGAATACCACCTCTTGGTATTCACCTTTTTTAAAAAAAATTTTTTAATGTTTATTTATTTTTGAGAGAGAGACAGAGACAGAGCATGAGTGGGAGGAGGGGCAGAGAGAGAGGAGACACAGAATCGGAAGCAGGCTCCAGGCTCTGAGCTTTCAGCACAGAGCGTGATGTGGGGCTTGAACTCATGAATCATGAGACCATGACCTGAGCTGAAGTCAGATGCTTAACTGATGTAGCCACTCAGGCGCCCCAGTCTTCACCTTTTTATTTTAAAGAATCCTAAAGGGATTCTTCTCGTAAGAAGTCCCAAGCTGTTTTCCCCGAAGTTTTCCCCTTAATCTCCTCTTGTTCATTAGTGAGTTTTCTTCCATGCAGTAGCCCTGTTGCAAACTTTTCAGGACAATACTTCTTGCTTCAAGTTATTCTATGGAAATCCCCACCTTCAGTACATAGAAGCCCATAGAATCCTTCAGCCAGCTAGAACACCCCTCCTACCCAGAGGTGAGCTCTCCTGCCAGATGTTATCTTTGTTGCTCCTGTTGCACATGGGTGCCAGCATCTACTGGTTTGGGGTGGGGACTTCTCCATCCCCCCAACTCAACAATGAACTTCTTTTTTAAACACATTTGTTTATTCATTTTGAGAGAGAGAATGAGAGCACAAGCGGAGGAGGGGCAGAGAGAGAGGGAGAGAGAGAGAATCCCTGTAGGCTCCGCCCTATTAACGCAGAGCCTGATGCAGGGTTCGATCTCATGATCTGAACTGTGAGATCAAGACCTGAGCCAGAATCAAGAGTTGGATGCTTAACCGACTGACCCGCTCAGGCTCCCCGGCAATAAACTTCTTGGTTCAGGCATCTTTTCTTCTTTGTATTCACATCTCTTGTGGCTTATAGTGGAGGGCCTTACACATAGTCAGCCCTTGGTAAATGCTTGTTAAATGAATCAGTGTTTTCTTATTGTGCTCTCCTTGCAATGAACTCTTGGGCCAGAGCAATATACCCGCTTTGGGTCTGCAGAGAAGTATTCCCTGGCCACACTCATTCCAGTTACATGCTGTGTTTTCTTTGTAATACCTGTATCACTATCTGAAACGCCTAAGTAGTTTATGTTCTGTCTCCCCCAACTAGAATAGATGCTACGTGGCAGTAGGGACTCAGGTCTGTCATGCCCCCAGCACCCGGCACAGTCGTCAGTGTGAAAGAGGTGCTGGGTGGATCTTTTTGAATGAATTCCAGAGCATACCACTGTTTAGAAGGGTCTGGGTAATGCTTCTAAATACAGATGATAGGTGTGAGCTTTTAGAAACCATCTGTTGCGAACTTGTAAAATTTTCCTATGGTTTATTACTCTGGATGTGCTTTCTGCTACCCAAAAGAGTTTGGTGTCACTGCAAGCTTTACAGTAATGTAAAGATACATTACTTCTTCATTGAGATCATTGCTAGGAATCCTCAACCCAGTTAGTCCTACACTGATCCCTGACAGAGCCACAATTACCCCTCATCTATCAGAGGAGTGCTCATGTTACCAAGCCATCGCCCATTCCAGGACAGATTGCTTCCCCAGGCTCATTACATTCTGCTTAAAAAATAGTCTAACATATCAAACTCATTTTTGAAAGTTTTAATGTAATTCATTCATGTATCTATCCTCTTTAAAGACTTGAATAGATTAGTGCAGCGTGATATCCCCAGAAGGTATCTCCTTGTCAGCCCCTTGCTAGGTTACTTTTGTGTTACGTACCTGAGATTGCAGATTGCATAGGCCCTGTGGGACATGGGTGCCCCTCTCCTGTCTCTGAGTTTCTGGGCTCCCACAGTCTTCTACCCAGATGACCATGCATCAGCCAGGGAGAAGCATGGTCAGAGAAGGAGCTGTCTTGGCTTATTTCCCTCTGATCCCTGTGCTTCTCAAAAAAGTATTGAACTGCTAGCGAATAAGAAATAGGCATCTTCTAGGATGCCTTATTCAGAACCTTATTCAGAATTTTTTTTTCACTATCATCCAAGGAAGACACACATACAACATTAGAGTAAGAACCCAAAACCTGATAATGCGTTCACTCACTTCACTTTTTAGTATTTAAAAAAATACAATTCACCCACAATAGTCAAAGATATAGCTACGGTGTGACTATTCAAAAGAATAGCCTGGCACCATCTGACAATACATCAGCGTTTGCGTAATGAATGAATGAATGAATGAATGAATGAATGAATGAATGAGGTATCTGCAAACTCTGAAGATCATCTCAAAAGAGAAAGACTCAAGACTGTATTGTGCAGTCATCATCTTGTGGAATCATCATTTGATTCACATGTAGCCTTTAGAAGGGTCTATTTTGGAAAGCACGCCCTGGATATAGGTTATGGGTGTGTGTGTTTTAAAAGAAACAATATGCATAAAGCAAAATGCATAAAAATACCATGTTTATGTTATGGATTGTTTTATGCAGCATGTGTTATAGCTACAGATACCTGGTGTACAGAGACATACACATATGTGCCACATATGCACATGGATGAAAGGAAATGTTGAAATTTGTAGGTTTTCATGGGTTTTAGTGAACCTTAATTTTGCTTCTTTCCAGACTGTCTTCTACAAGTTTCTAGGTCTTGTTTTTGTTGTTTTTGTGTTTTAAACAGGGTTCTGGTCCTCTGGTCTTACCATGTAAATACAGCAACTAGGGGACAGTCACCTGTTACCAACCTCCCAGAACACAGAGGGATGTGAGGTTGCCATTATCGGTGACACGTAGCTGCCTTTAGAAATTACGTTGTTCCCTTAAAATGTTCACACTAGATATCCTACTGAATGTCTTCTTGGCCATCGCTGTAGACAATCTGGCTGATGCTGAAAGTTTGAATACTGCCCAGAAAGAGGAAGCTGAAGAGAAGGAAAGGAAGAAGATTGCCAGGTAACTCCATTTTCACCCAAGGATAGAATCTTGGGCAGAACCCAGGCCCTCAGCTCTCATTTCCTCAGAGCTGAGAGTAGGAGTCACACGTCCCCATGCTTAAAGAATCTCTGTGGTTAATTTTGGTGGCATAAAATAAATGATGCGTTCAGTGCTGATGAGCTCTTGGATGAGAATTTTAATAAGATGATCCATGTAATAAACCCAGTGCACTGAGGTGAACGGGGAGCTCTGAGGATGGGTTGTGCTGTGGTCTCACTGTTAGGGTTGTTTCCAATTAAATTCCGTCCTTCATCAGGCCACTGTTGATTCAGAATCTGGATTAGCATTTTTATACATAGCAATATGGTTACTTGGGTTCTCATGTTTTCTTCTGTGTAGAAAAGAGAGCCTGGAGAATAAAAAGAACAACAAACCAGAGGTCAACCAGATAGCCAACAGTGACAATAAGGTATATGTCCTAAAACAGTTCTCCTCTTTTTGTTTCGCTGTGGGTCTGTTGATATCATCATAAATGTACCATTTACACTGGGAAGGTATCATGCATGATATTTTGGTGTGAGGGTATGACACACATTATAGATGCTGGCTTCCCAGGGGGATTCTCAGTGAATTTAGGCAGCTAGCTGGTTATTAATCAATATTTCACCAAATAACTGGTATGGTAAATATTTGACTGGTGGGACTACTTATTTTTTCTTTATTGGAATTGTGTCACCAGACCTGACCTGTTATATCTTCTCAGTGGGGATTAAAATCAAGGATGTTAACAGATGTCTACCTCCAGAAGGGATCTTAGGATCCGGTTCTGGGTACTCAGGGCTGTAGTGTCAGACTTCATCCCACTCATGACAGCTCTGGATTTTTTATTCCTTTGTTTGTTCCGCGAGTCAATAAATACTTACGGAGTGGTTAATGTGTGGCAGATACTGGAAATCAGCAATGAACAAGACCAGTGAGGTCCCTCTGTGCATGGAGCTCACATTCTAGCAGGGAGACAGGACCTCGCAGTTACCATACAGTGTGTAGGACAGTGTTGAGTGGGGAGGCGCGTGGATGGTGGTGCTGGCTAACCATGGCTGGATGGAGGTTATACCCGTTTTCTCCTCATTTGCCCTCAGAGCTGTGTCTTAAGCAGAATCATCAACGGGGACACTTGCTGTCCCTATGCACGCACACACTTCTGTGCAATGTGCACTTTGGAGAGAGTTTCCCTCCCTGCACTGAATGGCAGGGTCGAGTCTGTACTTTGGTCCTCTGCGGTGCATTGAAGTCAGAGTCTCCCCTCCTCCCAAGCCCTCTCTGTCATCGTAGGTTACAATTGATGACTATCGAGAAGAGGATGAAGACAAGGACCCCTACCCACCTTGTGATGTGCCAGGTATGGTGGCAGAGGCCGGTGACAGGCTCTCGGTTCAGGGGTGATATGGCTTTGCTACCACTCAGTGATCAGAGGCTCAGTCTCTGGCTGGCTAGCCCAGCTGGGGTGCATGGTGAGCAGTGAGGCTGCCGAGGCTGTGGGCCTCATCCTTGTGGCTGTGGAGCAGTCAACCCTGCTGCTTTCCTCGGTCACCCAGGTAGCTTGCATAACTCAAATTCCAGGTGGTGGGGAGAGAAAGTGTGAGTGGATCAGGGCAAGCCCCACCTCTGGTGGGAAACCTCTCTAGGAGGCAACCAGCCATTACTACTGTTATTATTACTGCCCACCTGTCCCTTTCACATTTGCTGGTGCCTTACCTTTATTGGCTGATGTAGCAGGGACTCTGGGGGCGGGGGTGCCAGTGGGGTGGAGGACACTGATCGTGTGTGGCTTGAAGCCCCACACACAGTTTTCCAGGCAGAAGCTGAGCAAAGCCACTGGGGAAACAGCCGGATGCTGGGAGTACTGCACTGATACCTTTCACCTTTGCTCAGACCTGGACTTGCCGGGCCCTCCTTCCCAGAACTGCATGCACTCACAGACGGGCACACTTCTCGGCCCCCCACAGGCACTCAGGCCACATTCTGAAGGGTTTTGACCAATGTAAGGCGATAGATGTGAAAGTTGACTCTTCACGTGAAGTTGAGAATAATTCAAACCCAATGCAACCATTATTTCATGCCTACAAAAAAAAAGTGTCTCATTTAAAGTAGGGGAAGAGGAAGAGGAGGAGGAAGAGGATGAACCCGAGGTTCCAGCTGGCCCCCGTCCTCGTAGAATCTCAGAGTTGAACATGAAGGAGAAAATCGCCCCCATCCCTGAAGGGAGTGCATTCTTCATTCTGAGCAAGACCAACCCGTAAATACCTGCTTTCTGATTTCATTGTTGCCATGTCTCACCTGTCCCCCTACAGACTGCTTGAGGGGGGCTGGAGGTGGGGAGAAGGAGGGTGGGTCACAGCCCCTTTCTGTGCCTGTGCCTCCGAGCCCCTGAGTCCTTGCTGACCCCTCTCTTGTTCCAGCTTGCCTTTGCCCTCTGCCCATCTCTCCCTGGCCGCCTCGTTCCTGGATGAAGGTGCTATTATAGGTATATGGCCAGGTCCTGGGAGGATGCCATCCCAGATTCTCCTCCTCCTTAGTGCCTGTACTGGTCAGAGCCCACAGCTCAGGTGTCCACGGGCTGCTACCTGTGAGGCGTTTCCCATCCAAAGGACCCTTTCTTCATGAGTGGGTCTTCTGTTAAGATGCGTTGGGGATGAGAATTTTGTGACCAAGTTCTCCACAGCGTCTTCATCCTGAGATCCAGATTAGTTGATCACTTTTCCCTGTTGAGTTTGATGGCAACAAAGTGATATCGCTCGATGATATTTTATAGGTGGTAGCTATTCAGCTCCATGCTATCCTGCTTAAAGTAGCATTTCTCATGGTAAAACGATAAGGTGCTCACTGGGAGCCCGGCACTGCAAGTGCGGTAAGAAGACAATGTTTATTAGTAGCCAGTTTCTAGGTTTTCAATCATCTGAGATAGATGGCATCCCTGGGGGAATGAATGGCTCCTGGAAGGGTTTCTAGAATTGCAGAAGCAGTCCTTGGCTGTCAGAGAAGAACCCTATGGAATTCACAGTCCCCAGGGAGACACAGGTGGGAAGAGAGGCTGCTGTCCTTAGTGACTTGAGGATCTGATGGTAGTTTTTACAGTGTGTCACTGTAGAGAATTTGGGTGTCTCTTTTTAAAAAAAGGTACTCACCTGACGTTACTGATGCCTACAGCTCACTGGGTCTACATATATTGAAGGAATGGATTGATTTCCCTCCCCAGAGCTGTGAACACTCCTGCCCTCCCTGCCTTGGAAGGTTCTCCCCAGACTCACCTGCTAACAGCTTGCAAGCCCTCCAAGGGCACATCCCAGCATGAAGCAGCCCCACAAGGGAGGATTTGAAGAAAGGGGTCAGTTTCTCATAAAGTTGACTCCAGTTTTGAAAGTGAAAAAGGACAGGGCACCTGGGTGGCTCAGTAGGTTAAGTATCCGACTTTGGTTCAGGTCATGATCTCACAGCTCGTGAGTTCAAGCCCCACGTTGGACTCTGTGCTGACAGTTCAGAGCCTGGAGCCTGCTTCCGATTCTGTCTCCCTTCTCTCTGCCCCTCCCCTGCTCACACTTTGTTTCTCTCTCAAAAGTAAATATTAAAAAAATTACAAAGGAAAATAATTTCAAGGGGAAGATATATGTATTCTATAGGCCAAAAATAAAGTCTTTTAAATTCTAAAGTCAGGTGTTGGGGTTAAATTCTAAAGTCAGGTGTTGAGTCTGGCGCTAACTAGCCTGTGGGACATCAGACAACGGCAGGACGCTGAGGACCATGACATGGTATGTAAGATCCCCACACGATTCTTGCACGGTGCAGCTTTCTCTTCACTTTCTTGGGAGTGCTTGTGGGTCAACTCCAGAGTTTAAAAACAAAAACCACTTAGGACAGAATCTCCACATAACAGGAGATTTTACCAAACCCATGACTACTGTAGTCATTTTCATACAGCCAGGTGACAGCATTAGAAAGGGGTTGCTCTCCTTCCTTTTTAATTTGTATTTATTTTTTCATTTTTAAGCTTATTTAGTTTGAAAGAGAGAGAGAGAGTGGGAAGGGGCAGAGGGAGAGAGGGAGAGAGAGAATTCCAAGCAGGCTCCACATGGACAGCATAGAGCCCGACGTGGGGCTTGAACTTATGACTTGAGCTGAAACCAAGAGTCAGATGCTCAACTGACTGAGCCACCCAAGGGCCCCTTAATTTTTATTTTTAACTGAAGTACAGTTGACGTACAGCATCATATTGGTTTCAGGCACACAACATAGCAATCTGACCGGTCTGTGTGTTACACAGCATTCGCCACGAAAAGCGTGGTCGCCATACAACGTCATTGCAATAGTATTGATGATATTCCCTATGCTGTACTTTTCATCCCTGTGACTTGTTTCTCTTATAACTGGAAGTCTGTACCTCTGGACCCCCTTTACCCATTGCTCTCATTCTAGTGAGCTGCGGCAGTGAGCTCTGAGCTCAGATTCCTTCCAAAGATAGGCAAAGGAAGCCACTGGGCTTCATGTCATGGTGGGAAAGCGTCACAGTCCACCTGGATTGGAAATCTCCCTCAGTCTTTACTAACCTTAAGACCTCTCACATGCTTAAGCCTCAGTTTCCCCACTTGTAGCAGGATGATAATCCCCACTTTTAAGGATGTGATGAATGCTGTGTATGGAGCCCCTCCTCCCCCCACAGAGCTGTGGCACTGTGGGTCCTCAGGGTCTGCCTTCCACGACTTTTGAAGGGCTGAGGGTCAGGTGGCTCTGGTTGGCCGGGTTGGGGCACGGACAGCTGTCCTCTGCCCGACTTGTCACCTCAGAGCAGCACCAGCATGCAGGAGGCACTGGCCGTGCCAAGGGCTGTGTCCATGCAGTGGTTTCCCCCACAGGATCCGCGTGGGCTGCCACAAGCTCATCAACCATCACATCTTCACCAACCTCATCCTCGTCTTCATCATGCTGAGTAGCGCCGCCCTTGCCGCCGAGGACCCCATCCGCAGCCACTCCTTCCGGAACACTGTAAGCCACTGAGCAGGGCCAGGCGGGCGGGTCTCCCTCTGGGATCAGCACCCGTCTCTCTAGCAGGGACTGTCACGCAGGCAGGGCTAAACGTTAGAGGAGGCCTCTCGTTCCCCCAGAGGTATTTCAGGTTTGTGAGTGCCAGAAGAGTTTTGTCTTATCAGGACAGACCTTTTTTGAATCCTGTCCTCTAAACTTCACCTTAAACACTCTGCAGCAACTTATAGCGTATTCAGGAGCCCTGCTTCTCCTCCTCTTCGTCCTTTACTGCCAACATTTTGGTCCCTGTTTTCCCCTCCCTGGTCACATTCACATCCGTGCCTGTTTTGAGATTTCTGCCCAGGTGGAAGCATCCAGCAGGAAGGAAAAGTAAAAATGGAGCCAGGTACGTCATGTGCCCAGAAGCTCTTCCTTAGGGCTGGCGGGAAGGCGTGGAGCCCGCCTGGGCTGAAATTCACGAAGCTACTTGGTTTCGCTACTCAGCGGAGGGGTTGGGTGGAATGGGGGGGATACAAGTGAGGGAGCCGACGGCGTGTGGAGCCAAGTGGTTCAGTGGAGAGGAAGGCTGGCGTTTTGATAGGGCAGGAGGTGGTTTTACAAAGAAAACAAAGAGACAGCTAAGTTGTCTGTTATCGGTCTGTTTCGTGCTTTAGGGAGAGCACATCTGTGCTGCGCAGAGACCAGTACCTCAGGAAGTTCTTGTCCAGGTGGGTCCCCTCTTAGCAGTCAGCTCATTCGGCACCGAGAACAATCCCGAGGGGATACAGCTTCAGAAGACCAGTAGACTGTTGTCTGCTCTGGCCTGGAGACTGTAGTGCAGTCTCAGGTGGTTGTCAAGAAGCCCAGGAGAGGGAGGCCCACGAGTGTGTGAAGCCGTCCGGCATTGCTGCCCCTTGTGGTTCGTGCTCTCTGTGTCCATCCGATTTTTAGAAATTTGAGGAGTAAGGCAAATTACCAGTACCCCAGGATTTTGGTTGTGACAGTCAGGCCTTGTGCTGTATCTTTTCGTTTCCAGTCCCGTTGGTTTGAAGCCTGGCAGGCCCAATGTATCAGGCTGATAAAACACAGGCGCTCTGATATGCAGATTTTAAAAAGACTTTCCTCCCAAGGCACATGTTGGTGTTGATGTAAAGACGAAGGCTGTGCATCTGTCTGAATCTGCACTCACAGATCAGGGCTCTTGTTAGAGATTCTGACATTGTCTCTACATAAGCGTTCAAATGGAACAAAGACCTCGGTGTCCTCAGGCCCCATCATAGAAATGAGGCACAGCGGGTAGAAGCTGTTTGGGAAAAAAATACTGTTATTGAGAGACGAGGTCAGGAGCTAGTCTAGAACACAGATTGGCAGAGTTAATTTACACGTGGCCCCGTGTTCTTATTTTTATTGTAATTGCTTCCCCATGAGTTTATGTCCCTGCTGCTTTTTCCAAGAATGTTATTATTGTTTTTAAACAGATGTACATATTTGTATGTGTATTGCTTTTAAAACACTACAGTGTTTATTTCATTGTGGTAAGAATGCTTAATGTGAGATCTACTCTCTTGATAAATTAAGTGTACGAGACGGCCTTCTTAACGGTAGGGACTATGTTGTACGGCAGGTCTCCAGAACTTACTCATCTTGCATGACTGAAACTCTATCTCTGTTGGCCATCTCCCCATTTCTCCCTCCCCCAGCCCCCGACAACCTCCATTCTACCTTCTGTCTAAGGGGTTGACTACTTTAGATACCCCATGTAAGTGGACTCATGTGGTGGCTTTTCCGTGGTTGTTGTGTTAACTTAGCTAAGTTATTAGTGGAAGAGGAGTGAATGGAGAAAGAATAACCTGAATCTAAGAGCTTTGACCTCTGGCACTGGGTCGAGCTGCTGACGTGTGGGCAGCGGTGTCTGTCTTGGCTACACCCGTGCTTTTGACATGAACAGTCCTGCCGTGACCTCGGATGGGGGAAGGGGCAGAGGCTGGCCGTGTACTGGAAATACCTTTCGTTGCCTGGCTAGAATCACAAATACACAACAGGCTTCCAGCAAAATCTGTAAATCTCAGAATGGAAGTGGTTTGAATAATGAATGCCCTCTGGAGAACTTCCGTGGAGAAGAGCTGGCCTTTGCTGTAGGTCCGTCTCCTTACTGTGATGGAGAGTAAAGGACTCCCATGGGCTGGATCCCACACTCAAGTAACAGGGCCCGGGGCTCACTCCCTGCCCAGCCACACCATGACTGGCTGTGCGACCTGAGCAGCCTGCCCGCTGACACTCCCACAGTATCCTCTTCTGTTACATGAAGAGAGTTGGTCTGGGGGTCTCTCCACGGTCCCTTCAGCTCTGATCTTGGCCTCTGCAACTGGCAGAGTCTTGGCTGCCGTCTTTGTGGCTGAGGGTTCCCCATGAGCAACCTCCATTGAGCGGTCAGACTCTTGGTTGCTGGCCCCCCTGCCCCACCCACTTACCCGCCCCCATGGTTCTGAGAAGCAGCAGGGACCCCCAAAGGGTTCCCTGAGCAGGACTCAGTTGGAGGGTAGATGATATTTTCAGGAATACTGATAAAAGCAGCCTGGACCGATTATTCAAAGGCCAGGTCAGTCTGTTCTTTGAGTGGGCCCAGCTAGGTAAAAAACAAAAACCCAGTGTTTGGAGAGAGCAGTGTTAGATGCAGAGCAGGACCATAAGTAGAACTCTTCTCTGAGGACTTATTCAGCCCTGCACACAGGTGACGGAGGGGCATTTCCACCCTGTTTTCACGGGCTGGAATCAGAAGGGGCATGTGGAAACTTCTGGCCCTGTTGGATGCCACTTAACATCTTTATTTACATTTTTCCACCAAACTGAAGCTCAGCTATATGCTGAAATATGACACCATATTTCATTCTTCTAAGAATTCCCTTTAAAAATCTGAAACGTGTATAAGGCTCCGGTTTATCTGGTGTCACAAGTTTGTCCATGTTGTGCTCTGATGAGCAGAGGTTATTAACAAAGCGCTTTTAGAAATGAGCTTCTGTCTGTCCATGACACGAGACAGGGAGGAGAGTCCGCATGAGTGGTGAAAGGAGGTAAGTGTCCCCAGATGCTCTTTCTCGGTCACAAAGAAGAGCTGTCACTGGGCCGGGTGGGGCATTTATAAGCGTCTCTGCACCTGCCTCCAGAGCGGCAGGCTTATCTCAGGGGAGCGGGCGTCTGACTGCAGGTGGGGGTTCTGCCCATGGGCGCGCACGCTGTTGGAGTTCATCCGGATGCCTTTTTCTCATTTCCAACATGTTGTACCTTGCAGATACTGGGTTACTTTGACTATGCTTTCACAGCCATCTTTACTGTTGAAATCCTGTTAAAGGTAACGGCTTTTTCATTGATCCTCAGGTACTCTAAAGCAGCTGTAGCAATAATAGTTGCAATTCTTTGTTTACTTTCCAGATGCTAGGTTACGCAGATTATGTCTTCACTGGTACCTTTGCATTTGAGATCGTTTTGAAGGTAACAGGTCCCACAGCAGTGTGTCGAAGGGGCCTGCTCCTGTGTGACACACGGCAAAGAAGCGTGAAGTGCTTTTGACTATTTTTTTTATTTTTTGCCTTCTGTGATCAAGCTACACTTTTTTTTGTAAACCAAAGGATTTTTTTTGTTCCTGTAACCATTCAACATGTTTTTGCTGTTTCTTTTTAACCTTTAAATGCATGTAGGAACTTCTTTGGCTTCATAATAATGACTGGAAATTATTTTGCTCCTTTTAAGATATATCCTCTGAAATGTGTCATCTGACAACAGACACATCACTATGTGTGAACCTTCTTCCACCTTTCCTGACCTCAAAGTCAGAGGAAAAGCATTTATCCTATGAAGGGAATGTATCTCCTTTCATTTCTTTGACGGAATGGTTTTCAGTGGCCTAAAATAGTAACACACTATTTTCTTGCAATGGGATTTGCAAGATAACCTATTTGTGTTAGGATATTTGATACGCTTTAATGGATGGGCTTACATTTACACAAACAAAAGGAGCACCCTTTGGACAGGGCGCCCTAAATGTACTGCCCATGCATGAGCTCACAGTTGCCATTGCTGCATGGTTTGTGTACAGATTGTGGAGGCCACCCGGGCCCGGCTCATTCCCCGCGCGTGCAGAGGTCTGGAGACCCGCAGCAGAGAGCCAGGAACACCCCTGACGTGCTAAGTGGCATGGGTCACTGCAGGACCGGGACAGTGTGGCCCGTGACAACTGTCAGAGCAACTGTGTCCCAATGGGGAGACAAGATGAGGAATTTTCACCACAATTTCCTTTAAACCAATTTTGGGTTTTTACGTGTGCATCTCAGGAAAAAGAAATGTATTTCATGTTCAACTACTGTAGAACTTGGGCTCTTTACAAAATATTTTATGAAATGAAACCTCGATGAGCTTTGCCAGGGAATGGGGTACTTAGAGTTCCTTTTATTTTCAACTAATAAAAACATTAGCACAAAACCAGCCAGCCTCTGTTTAAACCTTTGTTAAAAAATCTAAAAATTCACATTCACTTTCCTGCCTTTAAGCCGGTGAATGTGGCCGACAGTTGTCTCCTAAGTGGGTGCGGGGGTTAGCTGAATCTAACAGGGCCTCTGTCATAAGGAGTACGCACATAATGCACAGGGGGTGGGGTCAAGCATACTCACCCTGCCTCTACTTCATCCTGAGCTGTCTTTTTTTTTTTCCTTATAATTTGCCGCCTTCTCTTCAAACTGAATGGGGAACATGATCCACTTAATCTATTAGCTCAGCTCATCGAGGTTTTATTCTACTTCCCACAGGTCTAAGTTGTTAAATGATTATCATCATTCGTGGGCTTTGGGGCCAATGAGATTTGGGTTATTTAAAAGAAACAAAAAAACCATTGTTGCTTTTAAATTTCTGCATATTTGCCTCAGTGACTTAAGTATTCTGAGTTTTCTTCATTTAAAACCTGTGTGAGGGTGGGAAACAAGCTTAGAAACCGGAAGGATTCAGACAATGGAGGCTTGCCAAGAAGCATCTAGCATCTGAAGCGGTGGTTCCTGCTGGCTGTGGGAACACTGGCAAGGCTATATGGCTATTCGGTTGAACCACAGCAAACTGCCATTTGTGTAGGTCAAGAATGGTGGTGTGTTGGCGATTTTATATGGTTCAGTGTAACTGTTTCATGACTCTGGCCCTCCTGTTCTATACTCCCCTGAGCCTCCTTCATCTTTTTTTTTTTTTT